GCATAATACGCGGGGAAACACCTGCATGGCATTAAGCTTCGTGCTTGCATCTATGTCTAGGCCCGTCCCGGGACGTCTTGTATAAATGAAGGAGCAATTCTCATCTATACATACTTACATCCCCGCAGTCTAGAATTCTTAATATCATCTCATAGCCATTCCCTGTCACGGACAATAAGGCCTTCGGCGCAGTTCTATCGGACTGGTCATATTGTCCCGGACATTGGTTGGAATGACGAGGCAATAATCGCCGAATGCCATTGCTTTTTCTGCCTTCATTGATATAATCAGTTAATGGTCTAATTGCTTAATTACGCTTAATCACTTCCTTACCTAAACTACATTTTAGATATCATTACCATGCAAATGATTGCATCAATCAGTGTGAGGAGCGCTCTTGCGGCTGTGCTGGCTCTCCTAAGCACGAATGCCATAGCTCGCCCTCAAACCAGACAGCAGCATGTGAAGGCTAGAGGTGGCAACGAGCGTGAGCAGTATCATCATTGCACCATGAGATCCAACTTAACAAGGAACCAGTCGTACAGCCAGTATACCAAGCTCTTCCTCTTGGATCGGTCAAGCCTCAAGGCTGGCTCAAGGAACAGTTAGAGCTGTCAGCTAATGGACTTGCCGGTAACTTGTTCAACTTCTATCGGTTTGTGAAGGATTCACAGTGGCTGGGTGGCAATTCAGAATACTCCGATCTCCACGAATCTGCAGGATATTGGTTCAACGGACTTGTTCCTCTCTCCTTCAGTCTCGATGATGCGAGGTTAAAGAGCCAGGTCAAGGCCTTCATGGACTACGTCCTCGGCCATCAGCAAGACGACGGATGGATCGGTCCAGAGACAACGCCGCAGACAAGAGGATTATGGGGACGATGTTACATTATGCTTGGGCTGATGGTATGTGTGTCCCTGCTTTTTCACAGTTTCTTCATGTGTGAGTTCTGGGGAAACGTTGCATGTAGATCGACTGGACATTTCGCTCCTGCCTATAGATCTGCGTGCAACTTCGTTCTCTAATACCGAGGCGTCGCGAGCAAAACGCTAACATCATTCTTCAGCAATATGCCCAGGCCGATCCTTCTGAGACGGATAGAATAGTCGACGCCATGCACCGATACATAGAACTCGTTAATAGTATGCTTCACAATAATTTTACAGGCCTCATCCCAAAACCAGGCGATGTTTTCGACGGATCTGGGTGGGGACCAGCAAGGGCTCACGAAAGCAAGTAACTCTTAAATTCATTGGTTTTTCCTCTTCTGGGTCACGTCAAGAGTACATAAGCTTCCTCTGGGCAAAGCCACGTTTTAGAAACGTTGAACCCTTTTAAAACCCTTGGCCTTCAAAATACCGGTAACTAACGCTGGGTGCTGCAGTGCATATCCCGTTACAATGGCTCTACGAGAATCACCCTAAAAACAACTCTGACCTGATCTGGGAAACCATGGAACTTATGATTCAGGGCAGCACAACTGTATGTAGCTAACATATCCCAATCAGCACCTTCACACTCCACAGCAATAGCAGCAGTTCGAGAGTCGGATATTGAGAGTATGGCGGACGCTGATCAACAACACCCACACGCCTCAACCCCGTTCACCTCTGAAACTAACTTTCAATGTCTAGTTTGGTGTTGATTGGAGAAACTTCTTCGTGGAAGGAACCTTCCCAGAGGTCGTATATGCTCCAAGGAGCCAATCGTACCCTTGGCTATGGACCCACGGCGTGAACTTAGCAGAAGGTAAGAGAGACCATGTAGCATATCTACCACTGGTGTATGGAGCGCATATTAATATGAATTAGCCATTCGATTTCCTTTGGCTATATACCGAACATCTCACGACGAAGCACTGAAAACCCAGACCAGAACAGCAATTGATCTTGTACAGAAATATCACACGTCTCTGGCCGGGACTATCATCGGTGATGAGGCGATGACGGATAATAATCCTAGCAGAGGTGCCGAGCTTTGCACCTCTACGGAACTCATGTTCTCGTTAGCTTGGATATATCAATACCTGGCAGATAATGATATCGCGGATTGGGCGGAATTGACGGCCTTTAACGCTTTCCCAGGGCAGATCTGGTCCGACTGGTGGTCACATCAGTACGTTCAGCAAGAAAACCAGGTGAGCTATATGTTCACAATCAGTATAGGATTAGTCGCTTACTTTGCTCAGCCGTGGTCGAGGAATCTCACAGTACAGCCTCAGATGTGGGACAACGTAGGAAGCTACGGGAATGTATTTGGTTTAGAACCAGACTATGTCAGTGTCATGCCGCGTTAACCTTCTGGCGAGCGTTACTAAGTATGTCAATAGCCCTGCTGCACTGTAAACCATCCCCAAGGCTACCCAAAGTTTCTCGCCAATTCCTTCGTCGGTACAGAAGACGGAGGCATCGCGCATGTTTTCCTCTCTCCGGGGAGTGTTTCTACTAATCTAGGTGACAACGAAGTCACCATCTCAGTCGATACTAACTACCCATTCGGCATGGACCTGAGCTATTCAATATCAGCCGATGATGATTTTAAATTCTACGTTCGCATTCCTGGCTGGGCCAACTCGTCCAGTGCCGCGAGAGGAGGTGATTCCGCTGGCGATGTCTTCCTCACGAGTACCGGGTTGCATCAATTCCACGTCCCGAAAGGACAGAGCACGATATCAGTCAGCCTCCAGACTGAGCCACGCATCGTAGAACGCGCCAACAACACTGCGGCCGTGTACTATGGGCCATTGCTATACAGTCTTGCCCTCGAGTTCAACGAGACGACGCGAGATCCAGTCGCGTATAACATGGGATACATCGACCCATCAAGCACGACGGCGCAGACCCACGACCACGTCGTCGAAACCACGGACTTGTGGAACATCGCCATCGATCCGTCGCAGATCAAGGTCGCCAGCTCCGGCACCGCCTCGGGACTCGCAGATCCGATCTGGGCCTTCGGCGCCCCGCCCCTCGAGCTCCGCGTCGCCGCTACCGAGATCGATTGGCCCATCCTGTTTGACACGCCCGCAGACCCGCCCCTGGATCCCCAGGCTAGAGGCAAGCCGTTTGCCGCGCGCTTCGTCCCGTTTGCTAGCGCTAAGGTTCACATGGCGCATCTGCCGAAGCTTGAACTTGAGACTGTTGATCTTGATGCGTGATCGTGGGTATTCTAGGGAAGCGATTTGGTCTAGTGATGGTATTCGTTTTCTTCATTACTATTGATACCGGGGTACAATTCTGCATGTTGTTTTTTGATAACCTCAGGACCTGATAGGCAGTTCGTATACGGGCAAAGATGGTTGCTCAAAGTACAGTGCTTTCAACAGGAGAGCGTAGAATTTATTTAAATCATTCTGACTACGCGAGCCCGTATTCAAGGGTCCGTGTCTATGACACAACAGAACTGCGGCCACTTATAGATGGGCCTATGGGTTTAGATGATGATAGCATCTAACTTTTAACTACGCTCTATCTAGTTCATTATAGGAGTTTGTCAAGTGCAATCGTTTTAGCTACACTAGACTTATACCTCCGAGTAGCTTGATTACAGCTTGCTTGTATGTATATAGTAACATAACTAATAAATCAACAGCATCGTCTTCTTAGTATAAATCAGGTTATCGGCATAAGTGGTATGCTACCTCATAGTTAAAAAGCCATACGAGCACTTAATTATACACCTGACTCTACAAATTCACACATTTTCTACGTCGTCATGGTGCCACGGAATACAAGGTACTTAGGAAGGCGCTTGGCATCCAGACGCAGGTAGGCTACTCAAAGTCTGTTATTGTCTAATTCTATCAGCGCAGTGAAGATTTTGAATTAAATCCGTAGGTGATGATATGTTCTTCATAGTAGCCCAGGAACAAAAATAAAAGAAAATAGCGAGCTAAACCAGTATAAGAGTTGTGTACGATGGTAATGGTAATAATTTAAAGCAGCCTTCTTGATCGTACCGTAACAAGGAAGTTAAATTGCAATAATCTAGTAGGGTCATACAAGTCCATGATCCGAAGACCATTGCATCCGAAGACTTTGGTCTTGCCTGTCGTGTCGCGTATTGCTGTTCTGATGACCAGGGCAAAACACGGATAGCTGAGTCTCAATACTGCCAATCATATGATTCATCTGCATGGTGTCGGTTCCGACACGCAGGTCTCAATATATTCGTGTCCCCAAACCAAACACGACGTTTTCCCAGATCCGAGCTCAGTCCCTAACAAAGCCCAGGAAAACTTGTTGAGTAGCCTGGAATTCACTGCAATGTCTTGTCTTTATACACAAAATGCGCAAGAGCTCTTGGACAAGAAGGCTAGATATTCACTAAAATAAAAAAGGAAATAAAGCCCTTGCAACACCATCCCATCTACCACACATATAATGAATGTTTTATCGAACAAATACCAAAAATCAAAAACAAAAAGAAATAATAAAAAAAATGAAAGTTCTGCGGTTAGTTGGATTTCAGTCTGACGTTCTCCCAACTGGACTATCCCCGAATATTGTTCGTTGTTGACTTGATCGGGTAATAATTAGGTACTTGCATGCATCATGGAGTACAGACACGACATCAGGCCAAGTGTACTTCGTACTACGTACGGGGATTGAAGCAAGAGTGCTCCGATTTCTCTTAGTTGGCGGCCAAGTTTTACTGAAAGGTTCCATTTGGTAGCTGAGCAGCGGCTCCCGGCTGCCTCGCCAGTATAGTCATAATCAAAGGCAAACTAGTTTCTATAGCCTTTTCTCTCGAGTAGTTTATCATGATCCCAGAAAGCGCACATGTCTCCCTCTTTCGTCTAGCAATGGAGGATTATAGCCACCTCGTGCCCTGATGGTTTGGCTGGGCGACTTCGCCTGATATACGAGGCTCAATTGTGTAAAACTATTTCAGTCTCTCTACTAGATAGAGCTCGGTGACCTATTTGAATGGTGATGATTTTGAGAGACGGACCTCAATGAGCTTGATAATTCAGGACAGAATCCAATAGAACAATGATTGCGGGGATAGCTCAGTTGGGAGAGCGTCAGACTGAAGTCCAACTTCATTCATGACATCTGAAGGTCGTGCGTTCGATCCGCACTCACCGCAGTACTTTCGATTTCTTTTTTCAATTTCATATAATGTTTTGGCAGCCTTATAGTAAACACTGCAAAAATACAGACTAAATTTCATGGACTTCTCTGCCCACGGGGCGAATGCGATATAGGGAACTCTAATTTTGAATACCAAAATTTCCAGTCCTGGAGGCTTTTATACCAATACTCCATCCAACATTTGTATGCAATACAGTCCCGACAATATTTAGTGAGCCTGTGTGACAGATACTTTGATTTTCACTAGTTGATCGGAAAGAACAACTGCCTCCAGGTTTTGTGGGTGGAGTGGAGAGAGAGTAAAGGAGGATAGCCTGAACCTCAAGATCGCGAAGACGAACATGTAAGAGACGAGAAGATTAAGAGTCCTAAAGTACTAGCTATCTAGGTTAGGCTCGTTGAATCTACTACTTCTCGGTCACGTGCTACTAAGAGCAGTGTAGTGAACAGCTAAGACCGACAGCAAGACCAACTATTAGAGTAAGCGCTTTCTTCCTACATTTCTATCAAGCAGCAACCTAACCAGTAACTCATCTCCACTCTGAAAATATAAGTAGATATGTACCCCTAACGAAGAAGTCCTGTGTATTACTTAGCTCGGTGCCCCTCATAAGAAGATAGAAGCATGAGCTCATCGGTAATATGACTTTAAACTTATATATTCCAGGGAAAAGTACAAAGGATGCAAAATACAGAAAACAAGGTGGATAGTTAGTTAGTCACACACTAATACCTCCCCTCCTGAAGCTATTCCGTCTTTTACTCATTAAGCCCAAACTTAATCCAAGAATCACATGACAACATTCAATGACCAACCCGCAACTCTGTAAATAACGCTAATAATATTATATTCCTAACGAAGTAGGCTTCGCAAACGCGGCAAGGTGGTATTAGGTACGACACACTCACAGATAACGAGTAGCTAGATGACAAAACCAACAAACAAACAAGCAAGACTGATCGAAACAGTTAGTTTTCCCAGTCACGTCGGGCCAAACTTACCCAGCCCCCAACCAACCCAGACGCCAATCCATCATAACCCCGTCCGTCCGACTAACGCGCCAGCCTTTTGCGATGCTCCCTCCTCCTCCCTGTATATAGAAAGAGCCAACCACCACAGCCTACAAGCTCGGGGTGCTCTCGCGGCTCGTTCTCTGATCCCTCTTGCTCAGGAAGCTCCGCCTTATCCCTCCTCCCGACGTTCCCGGGCGCGGAGTCTCCTTCTCCTGAGCGGACTCGAACGCGCTCTTCAGGATGACGCTACCGCTGCCCACCTTGATCTCCTTCTCGCCACCACCACTCTCGTCCACGAAGTACAGCGCCTCACCGAACTCGTCGTCGCTACCAAACGTGTGATGGCCCTTCACTTCTATGCGGAATTGCGTGTCTGGTGTGCACTTGTGCTTGAAAGTCTCGTCGAAACGAATTGTGCCGGGTGTTTCGTGGTGTTTCGTCTTCGCAATCATCTTTTCCTTCGGAGTTAATTGCTTGATGACGACGTAAACATCTGAAGAAGGAGGGAAGCCAGACGCGGATATGATATTGAATGTGGCGGTTCCCGCGCCGGGAGCGCCGGGAGCTAAGCTATTGATTGAAGCAGCACCCATGCTGGCCGTTCGATTATGTGACCGAGCGCCGTTAGACAATGCGGGTGGGGGGGCCTCCCCATCCAGGATAAGGGCTCCGGAGCGTTTGATGCCGGGGGAATCAGCGTCGTTTGTAACGATCGTAGGGATGTCGGTTGTGCTCGTTGATATGACGGAACCATTGCTCTCATCGTCCTTTTTACCTCGGAATCCCCGCTTGATGAAGCTGGCACCCTTGCCTACGCCATGGCCGACAACACCTGCCACAGCCACACCACCTTTGACTGGTGCACCCACGACGCCAGTAACTATCTTGGCGGGAGCACCAAAGGTCCCTGAGAAGGTGCCGGTACCCAATCGAGATCGTGTGACATAGTCGGGGCGGAAGAGAAGTCGTAATCTGACGGAACCGGACTTTCCATCTAAGAGGAGTTTCACTTCCTGGCCTCGGAATGGATCAAGCTGCTCGAGATTTATATCGGCGCCTCCTAAAAAGTCTGGCTTGTCTGCGAAATCATAGTCGTATACCTTGACGTGAAACTTGGCGGCTGTACGGGATGGAATAGCAAGTTCGAAGAACTCGTTCCAAGTTGGGTTCAGAGTCTTCTTCTGGGTTTTCGACTTGAAGACCTCCACGCCATTTAGTTCAAACTTGCAATAGGGATCGCTTTTACCGTTTGAATCAGCGGCGGGCAAGTCGGCACCATCCAACAGATCTACACGGAGATTGCCCATGTTGTTGATACTCTCGCTAGGGTCGAGCTGCATGTTAACAGGAATATACTTCAAGCTGACCTTGATGTTTGCGGGGCGATTCTCTTCATCTTTGAGCCTTAAGATAGTGGGGTTATTCTATAACGATTAGTCTCGGCCATATCGAACGAATACATAATGAGACTTACAAGACATTGCTTTAGTGTCTCTAACGTATTGCCAGTTAGGCGAGCTAGAGTGTGGTCTTCGTCACGTTCTTCGCCTGGCTTTTCACGCTTCTCCCTTATTCTTAGAGTGAGCCTAGAGAATTCAAGTTCACGGATAAAGCAATCGCCTATCTCGTCAAATTTGAAGATTCTTGACTTTGCCGTTCCAGAAATATAAGAAGGATAAAACATATCGTCGACGAAGATCTCGAGATGGGCCCCACTCTTGGGCATCTCACCCTCAATGAGGTTAAATATTAAGAACCCAGATTCATACTTGAGAAGTTCTTCAGGAGCGAGATGAATCTTAGGTGGCTCCCTGGGAAGTTCTCGAGATCTTCGGCCGTATGTGGAAGTAGGCGAGGTAGGCAACATGGGGGTTGTCGGTGTAGTTGGTAGGGTATTAGTATCCTTCCTCTCCAATGAAGAGAATTTACCAGCTTCCGACGATCGCGGAGCGTCGACTGATGTCCTAGAAGCCCTAGCACCAAGTTCGTTCTCCTCAGTTTCCTCTTCGTTCTCGGGGTCGGCGATATTTAGGCAAGGGAAGAATGACACAGTGTAGACAAGCACTCCCTTTTCAATGCCTTTGCCGTGCAGACGCAGACCTGCTTCTTGTATCTTCTTTTGATCGTTTACCAACCATGCACCATTGTCGTCTTTCTCAATATAGTCACCAGCGAAGACCTCGACCAGACCCAGACTTCGGTCTTTGCCCATTTTTTCAGCATCCATAACATCCAGCGTCAACCTGTCACGGGGAGAGTGCATGTGCACATAAATAACCTCGTCCCATTCGGGATCTAGGGTATTGCGATGAGTCACAGTTCGACCCTTTTCAATACCCGAAAGAAGAACGCGAACGTAAGGGTCTGATTTGCCCATAGTTTCAAAATTGCGAAGGCCATGGGCTCTCTGGAAATGGAGACGCATAACACCAATGGGAGCTTGATAACCCCCGGAGCTTGATAGGACACCTGAAATTGCTACAGGCTTCCACTTCGCTGTGAGCTTTGCGCGGCCTGTATGGACTCCGGACAAGTTATACCACTCATTACCCTTCTCCATCATCTCTAGCATATCGTCAAGTTTGATCTGGTATGTGCCGACCAGTTGGTCTCCTGCAATATCACGATCATCTTTGATGGCCAAACCAAGCTTAGCACTCTTGCGATCAGTAATGAGAATTTCTTTCGATCCATTGTCCCAAATGGGGTTGTTGGTGCGCTTGAGTTTCTTCGTCTGATGAACTTCCTTGCCATTCAGCAACAAAACTGCATAAGGGTTGAGAAGTCCGACGAGACTCTTCGTGCCGTCAAGATCTTTCGCTTGCTCAATAGTATACCGTAAAATGCCCGTGTTTGTCTCTGGCGGAGGTTCAACTTTACCATCGGGAAGCGTGGTCTCTTCGAGGACGGGGAAGAAACGGAAGTCAGCGTTGAGCACGCCTCGAGCCTTGCCGTTGGCGATCACTTCCATACGTTCATTCTCATGTACACCGAGTCCTTCGATTCTTTCTAGCTGGAAAGAGGCAATTCCAAGTTCTTTGTCTTTGCGAATATCATTGAAGTCGTACACCATGATGTCGAGAGAATCGTTGAACGAGGTAACGATGACATAGTGAGTTTCGTTCCACCGGGGATCACAAGTGTCTTTGACTGTCTTCGTCCGAGCAAGAGGAGCACGCTTGTTCAAAGTGAGCACAGCATATGGATCAGGATTGCCAGAGAATTTATCTGGGTTCTTGAGGCCGTGGGCTCCATGGAGCGTTACGGCAACCACGCCAATGGCCTGATCGACGGGAGAACCAGCCAGCAGCTTAGCCACCTCGATGGGGAACACATTTGGAGCGTACATCATTGGGGCCAGGTTGCCATGGATTTGCTCCTGAATGAAATGTTCAAGGCCTGGGATGAAGTTGATATCGAATCCAAAGGTATCACCACCGAGTGGCTTGCAAACATAATCGATAGTAGGACGTTCTAAGAAGCACATTTCGACCTTCTCTATATGAGGGAAAGGAAACTGCAACTTGATCTTAAGTCGCATAATACCAGAGAAAGCCATATCTTCAACGATAACGTCCAGGCCTTTGCTAATCATAGCTTTGCCGATTCGAATTTCCAGAACTACCTTGGGGTTTATTTTATTTTTGATCTGGCGAGATGTCATGTCGGCTGTATCATTGGGAGTAAAACTGAATTTCCAGTCCATGACAACTGTATCGTCTTCGGCTTTTGGATAAGTTTTGACATGGTCCATCCGTGGGGGTTTCGAGCCGAGCGTAAATGTCTTAAGCTTCAGGCTATCCAGAAAAGACGGTGTTGCGGAGCTTAACACTTGATCTACAGCGTTGATGACTGTTTGGGCGAGGACTGGCTGGTAGATTGGCCAAAACTTAACCAGGAAAGAATTGATCCATTCTAACGATTCATGGTCAGTGTCCAATTTCTTCAACGCCATTTCTCGAATAACGTCGTCTCGAAAGT